AGGTGTACCTACGATGAACATTACAGAACTGTCCATTCTCTGTAAGTGGGAACACTTGGAAAATAGGTGGTGTATCAAATACTTATTTGCCCCACTGTACATTATCAGATTAATTCACTTCAATATTATTTGGAAAGTTTAGCTGAGCCACAATCGTGTGTGCTCGGCCGGCAGGAGTCTTTGCTCAACGCAAGTGGAAGTATGGCGTATGCACCACTACATGCCTAGAAATCCTGTATCCAGTTCTCCATTAATACATCCATGGGCTACACTGGGATTCATTAGGAGGCAGGACTGTTTTCACAAGGACGACTTCTTCAGTAGAGAGTAGCTCCAGTGACGCCGGTAGACACCGTCCTCCTGTGGACTGTCCACAGTGACAGTATCTTGGTGATTTGGGTGAAGCAACCCTGTGAACAAATCTGATGGAAGCAGTGACGTCTGACAAAACAATAACACAACACTCCACATGTGCATTGACCTTACAGTTGACACTGAAAGTCCTGTTGCACTGAGGCAACCACAGCATCTACAGCAACCTGTAAACTCAGTAGGACAAACAGGTTGCCGATTGTCTGTTGCCTTATTTATCATTTCCTTAGGTGATTGGACATGCACCACAGTAATGCCACCGCTGCACAGATCACACAGAAAACCTGAAAACTCCCAGTAATAATCTGCTTTAAACACCCAGAAAAGCAGTGATTCTCCAGAGGAGAAAACATTTTGGACTTTGACCCTGAACACAGCGGCTTTGTTCCCAGCTGTGTGTAGCAGCCGACTTGTTTGTGCAGAAAGCGTTTACTTTAATGAGGCTAGTGTAAGATCACAGTGTCACAGGAGAGGATTTAAATCATTAATGAGGTCGCTGCTGCTGCGCCACCACAGCTTCGCTCTTAATCTGGAGACACGTATCGATCGTGCTGCTGCGTGACAGCTGCAGATAGTTGATGAAGTCCAAGGAAAGGAGCTAGATTCTATATTTGCTTGGTCAGAGTGACTCAGGTGCTGAAAGACAGCGGCCTGGTTTATTGAACAGCTGGTCTATGTTTGCTCTTTTAACTTGTATATATTTGGTATTTATACATCGGGGGCCACTGGGCTGGAGTCAAACTCCTTGTATCTTTGATGAGACTACACAATACAGCTTCTGCCGGCCTGACACCCAACACTGATTTCACATCATAGACAAATTTCCAATGTCAGAATAAAATCTTGCATCTTGCTACAGTCATGCTGCGCTTGTGTCATCTCAGTCATCTGGTGTAAGGTGGTGTAAGGTACCCGATTCAGGTGCAGGATGTGCAGCATGTTAATGGTTATGGTCATGGATCTGATTCAAGATTTAACTTCCCTGGTGGCAGGTCGCAGAAATAGCATGTCGCCCCCCCCGACACTGATGCAGCACTTTCACTTCCTCCAGCGCTGCATACTGCAGGGCCACAGTGGCCCCATCTCATGTTCGCACCTCACACACAGAACAGAGCGACAGCAAACTGCTGCTATGATCCCACCTGGAGCAGGCAGCCAAAACAGGCTGATGTTTCAAACCGCCCGGTGTTCTCTTCAGCTGAAGCTGGGCTGAATTTGAGAGCTGGAGCGAGCAGAGTGTGTTTGCACTGCAGCAGCAGTCGAGGTGCGAACACAGCGGCCTGTCACCATCCACCTCCACACTGTTAGCTTTACTCACATCACAGCTGCTCTGTGGAAGACGACAAGCTGGGAACAAAGCAGCTTATGTAAAGTCAAAGTGAAGCAGTGCCGAGCTGCAAGACGATCTGTGGTCCGGTCACATGACTCTCACACACACACACGCTTTTCCAGGTTGTTTTTGTTCCTCTGCTCTGATTTTAGGGACACTGTGTTTTATTCCCTCACTGTGGTAATCAAGTCACTTCTGTCTAAAACTGGGTCCAAAGCAAAAGACAGGAGAATTAAGGCAGCTGCTGATTTTTGCAGGATATAGTTGAGGCTTGGAGTAAAAAGAAATAAGAGTAAATGTATTTCTGTTAAGGGTAGAACATTATAAACACAGCCTGTGAGTTTTAGTGTTAGTTCACTAGGAGTCAGGTCCCAGTAAACCAGTTCCTGGTTCCTATTGGTTCTTAAATGCAGAGGCACTGGATGAAAAATCATGACTATGGAGAACAAGGGAGCAACAGCTGGACACTTTAGAGGAATAGTTAAATAAACCATGTGGTACCATAAGTAGTATTGTACATACTGGGGTACCGTACTACTAAACCGAAGTTTGGGAAAATGCAGTTAACAACCTTATAGTGTAATTAAAGGGAACAGCCACACACTGCATCACTCTTCTTACTGTCATTAATAACTAGTACTAGGTTCCTCGTTAAACATCAAAGATTAGCCATGTTTGATCAATTTATTTGTTGTATTATTACCTGACTTTATTGTGTCATAGGTTTTCCTGTCAGATGGCAATACAAGCCTCCCATAACTGTGCATTTGACATTTGAGGTGCGTTTGTTTTCTGCACCGGTGCCTGTTATGAGCGGCTGCAGTGTTGGACCACAAGGAGCTATTTTCCAAAGGTTTAGACACATTTCTTAACTTTATTCCAAATGAAACAGTGCAGATAAACAATCCTGAGAGTATTGGGACACTTCAGTCTGTTTCTACTAACGTACTCAATGGTTTTGGAAACAAGAGGTTTCAGGTTTGATTTCCCACTTTGTCTTTATGGGTTAATGGCAGTTTTATCCATTATAAATTACATTAACAACACAAAGTGCCAGTATTTTCTGAAGCTGCTATAAATGTGATAAATAAACGAGCCCCTGGTGTGTGGGCGTAGCTGTCGGCTGGAGGCACACCTGTAAATGAAGTGCCGCTTTGTTTGTTAATGAGTGAAACTACGCTTTCTATTGTACATTTCTCTGTAGCAATAAGGTGTGTGGAGCCGTAACACAATGGTCTTTTCCCCTCTTTATATTTTGAAACTACACAATAAGTACACACTGACATAAATACACATATTTTAGGCTTCAACCAATTTAAAAAATCAGTGGTTGGTTTTAATAAGCAGTAATGATAAAGTAACGATCGTACCCCGTAGGTACCCAGTATTTTCAAAAACACTTGTTTTTCCTTTTCACTAAAACAGCCCACTGTTACCAGCAGGAACCAGTATTTTACTGGTACCCGATTCACTAAGTGGCTCTGTAAACCTGTATTACCCAGTGCGGCCCAGTGGACTAAGCGACCAGTCCAACATCACACTCACCCTCTTCCTCAGGTTGTAGGTGAGCACCAGGTTTCTGGCAAAGTGGTTGGCGAAGTTGGCGTAAAACTCCAGGACCTTCTGCAGCGCGTCTCGTTTGATGATGTGGAGGTCGCAGTAGGTCAGCGCACGGACGTTGGCGCAGGACTGAGCCAGCGTCATCTCCTTCCAGAATACATCACCGAACACGTCACCTTTACCTGCAGACACACACACAGACACGTCCCACCTGAACTGCCACGAAAGGTCTCTGGACATTTTAGATCTGAGGAGTCACAATGTGTCTGTAACTACTGCTGCAGCGTCACCACCTGCCCAGTGAATGTCTGTCTGATTAACATGTTCCAGACCTTAACATCTTCACCGAAACCCAAACTAAAGCTACGTGCACATCACAGCTGAAGCTTCCCAAATCCGATTTCGACATAGCGCCGATCATTTCTTTGAGCATTAAGGCCTGTGATGTCCTGGTTCCAGCTGAATTTGGGAGCTTGGAGGAGTGAGAACATTCAGAGCAGGGTCGGTGTATTTATTTACACTATGAAAAATACTGGGTGTCTGGACCTCTCTCGGTACACAAACAACACGTCACGGTTTTCTCTGCTTGTCTGAATGAGTCAGAGTGATGAAACCAAGAAGACAAACACCGCAGTTAACATGCTTCTAATGCCACTGCTGCACTTCCTGTAGCTGCTTTTCACAGTAAAGGACCACAGTAAGGCTCTGGCTGCAGCCATCAGACAGTTTTCAGAACCAGGTAAGAACCTGGGGTGGCTCAGCTCGGGCTCAACTTCAGGACAGCATCACAGTTTTTCAAGACCATCTTAAAACAATGGATGGGGATGTGATTACACCCCGACAACTGAGCCTTGGGCGGATTTATGGGCATTAAAATAAAGGTATATGTACTGTAGTTTGATGACAGATTAGACCTACATCTCTACCTAGATCTCCTAAAAATGGTATCAAATTGTTTTGGCTCGAACAGAGTTTTCAAAGATTTCTGTTGGAACGACAACCAAAATATCTGCCAGTACTGGAGATAATACAATAGTTTTCTGTGTAGTTTCTGCCTAGAAATTAGCTTCATTGCTTTGAAACAAGAAATAATTACATCAATGTAATAAACATGTGAAATTAAGTGACAAAAATGATGGAAACAACCTAATTTCTATTAGAAACAGGGCAAAGTTTTAGGAGACTAAAGCCCCAGTTTGAGTTAATGCACCTTTACTGTTTTCTCGCCTGTGAGCAGTTTGGACAGATTCTGTGTTTTTTGTGGAGGAACAAAGAGAATGAGGCTGGAGCACAGCAGGCCGTTTTATCACCCAGATCTTTGCTGCTTCCATAACCTAACACTCGTGTCCCCTCAGATGAAGACAGACGAACGAGGACACGTCAGAGGGTCAAAGTGATGAACGCTGTCATTACTGATCGCTGCAGTGAAACCACACATTCATCACAGTGAAGAACGGGTCTGATGCAGCTGCGTTAATGTGCAAAGCCGAAGAGAAGCTGAGGTGAACACACAGATTTTAAATAGCTTTGAATGGGATGTGAAACCAGAGCGGCGGTGGCGGTGCACGGCTCACTGTGCTACTGAGAGATCTGCAGAGAAAATCTAAATATTTATCCCGACAGGAACTGAAGCTGATTCACACATGAATTCACTTCTCCTGGTAACGATCTGGCTGCTGAGTCAGCATCTCAGTGGCAGCACAGACACAGGACAGATGCCTGGACCCAAACAAAGACGGCAGCTCAGACGTGAAGCGGCTAGGACTACGAGTTGCCATGGTGAGAAGTGGACTGACACCCTTTCTTATCTTATCATGCAGAGAATGCGTACAAGGTGCAGAGGAGGAGAAATCAGCCTCCTGCTTGTAATTCCACATAAGAGACTAATTTATAAGTTATCGAATCCCCCACTTGCTGAACTACAGTCAACACCTGGCCGAAGGCTGATGGCAGCAGCGATGACACTGGGATGTGAACACTCAGCTTTACGTCTCCTTGTGACACAGGATCAACCGATGCTCTTTATAGATGTACATAGATGTATTCATCACATCACTTCCTGGAGGTCACAAAAGCTTTTACAGCTCTGCCAAGACAAAGCTGATGTTTTAGCTTCTACCGGCCACAAAATTTTATTCTCTAAGACTGAGTGCGAGCCAACAGGCCACAAACCTGGGTGTCATCTCTGACTCAGATTCATCTCAAAAATATCACTAAAGTGCAGCTGTTTCCCTGTGAGTGACGTGGACAGATTAACACCCACTGTGATAGCCAGCACCGCTGTACCAGCTCCTCTCTGCTTCATCCATCAGTGTTCTAAATCAGTTACAACTGGTCCAGATCTCTGCCACCCAGGTGCAGACCAGGACCAGAGGTGAGAACACATCACACCTGTCACTGTCTGTACTGATTGTAACATTCCTTCACTGATGGTTTTGCACCAGTGTCCTTGTCTGACGCGCTGCCAGGACGTGTCTCAGCTCCTCTGATACCTTGAGTCTTCTGACTGCTGTACAATTAACATGGTGTCTGATGTTGTTAGCAGCAGTGTAACATTAGGTTAATGCATTTTGTGTAAGGTAGAGTGCTAATGTCGGGCTGCTGCGCCAAAGTAAAATGTTCTGAGGTTAGCATGTACAGATAAGGGACCGTGGGAACTCATTCATCTTTAGCTAAAAGACTGACTCGTGGCATCCAGTGACTCATTCATCTTTAGCTAAAAGACTGATTCGTGGCTGGAGCTACATGAAATTTCACTGGATTATGATTCATCCTGAGGGGAACAGCAATGTGTAAATCTAAAGCTACATCCAGAGGGTGTTGACATATCAGGGTGAACCAGGGGACGAGGTGAGTTTGTTTTATGCAGCCGGGGAGCTGAGCTTGTGTCAACGCCTGCACGCTGGCTGCAGAATACTGCTGAATACCGGGAGCAGTCAAAGAGCCGAGAGGTTTTGTGAGCACCCAGAGAGTGAATTGCAAAATGACTCTGCCAGCTGTTTGCTCAGCCCTGCTCCGCCTCGACAGTTTCCTCCATCGTCTTTCAGTTTGTTTGTGAACCAGTGAATGCTGTCTCTCCATCAGCCCAAACCAGGCAGCAGGTTTCACATAAAAACAGAAACCACTTCATGCATAAAAATTGATGCTTTGCTAATGAAGGCCCTGGAGCATAGTTCCTACGCACAATAATGGAAATGGCAAACACACTGGGTTGTTGGTTTTGATGTGCTCCAGCAGCAGCGGAGCGTCTTCTTCTTCTGCTCTGTGCTTCTTCTGTGTGGCAGGTGACTGCGGGGCTCAGTGTGTTGTTCTAGAGCTCAGGTGTTTCCTCCGGAGAGAGGAGGAGGGGGCATCAGCCAGCAGCAGCAGAAACACACTTCCACTTCTCCATCTTCATTTCCAGGCTAAAACACAGTGACATGTCATTTCTGTTTCTGCTGAAGGAGCTTTAACAACCCTGAGAGAAGAAGTGTTGATGGATGAGTCTGACCAGGACCCAGGAGATTCTGCAGAGCTGAACAGGAAATCTCCTTCACTTAGTAAAGACATCTTCACTGTCACTATGGGTATGTGCCAATTCCTCACTGAGCCCAGAGGCCGCTCTGGTTCACCATCATGACGGTCAGTGGTCCCACACAGGAAATCTAGGCCCGATCTGAAACTGCATCTGCTTCACAGCGAAGACAAATAACAGAACCAGCTCCCAGGCTTAGACTGTCTTTGCTTTGAGGTTGAAATAGAGGATCTGCAGCTCTGACAGTTTCTTCATTCAGCTAAAAGGTGTATGAAACTAAAATGCCAGCAGTCAGATGAATGGATGCAGTGCATCTGCTCAGACACAGCATCACCAAAGGAGAAACAGACTTTTCACTTCCTTATGTCTCAGCTCTGTGAGGGAAGGTTCTTTTATCACCCGGTGAAACTGAGCGTGGGATTAAAAAGTCACCGACAGCATCACGGAGGGAGACACAAGTGAAACTCAGAGTCGAGCCCAGAAAAGACTCTGGTGAAGTCACTGAGTCTGAATAGAGATGGAGCAGCTGCACCTCAGAACAACGAGAGATGGGAGAGCAGAAAATCCACTAATAAATCATAAATAAAAACGTTTAGTTGTGAATGTGTAAAATCTCAATTTGTCATGGAACACAGTGAGAACAGTTTATGAAATATCTGATAACATCGACCTTCCAGGACCTTCTGCTCTACCCTGAACATTTTTACAAGCTCACCTAAAATGGCCACCACCTCGTCGTCCTGGATGACCTCCAGTGACCCCGACACCACGAAGCAGAGGCTGTCCACGCTTTCCCCGGAGTGGTAGATGAGGTCGCCTGGTGCACTGTGGACAGTCTGGAACTCCATGGCAAGGGCTCGCAGGCAGCCGTCGCTGGCTAGCCGAAACGCCGGGTGCTCCTTAAACACCTTCCTGTTGAGGTGGACGCAGATGTCTGCTCGCATGTCCTTGGGACAGATCTGCAGCACCTGCACACAGAGCCAGAGCGGCATCAGTTCTACTGTGACAGACGTACGGCGTGTGGAAGAGCCTGACCAGCCTGCACAAACAATTGGACACAGACGCCCTAATCCAGCATCGACAAGGAGTGTGTGTGTTGAGACGGCGAGCAGGACTGAGGTGTTACCTTGTCGGTGTCAATGCCCCTGGACATGGACCAGGTGGACACGATGTAGTCCATCACGCGCTCGCTGAGGCCTTTGGGGACCTGGTAGAGTTTGAGGAAGTCCCTCACACTGTTGAGCATCTCATGGTAGCGGTTGGTGTTGGCGTACATCTGCTGGAAGATGGTGGTAACGTTACCGAAGATGGTGGCGTAGAGCAGCGCTGCAAACAGGAAGGAAAGAACATATAAACTTTCAGCACAGATACTGCATCAGTTCTAAATCCTTTTAAAACCACTTTGGGCACAATGAGAAAATGTCTGAGGACGATGATGAAAACATTTTGTCTCCAGAACAACTTAAAAGACTAGGACGCCACAAGAAACGCCACACTCCAAGCTGCTTTATGAGCAGCTTACTGGTATGTTTTATAAACCTACACCAAAAAGGTTATTTTATAAATGAGTCTTATTATGAGTGACATTCACTCCTGTCCACTTATTAGCTTCAGTCCATCCATCATCTACACTGCTTGACCTGTAGAGGACATGGGGGCTGGAGCCAATGCCAGCTGACACAGGGTCAGAGGCGGGGTACATACACCTGGACAGGTCTCCAGTCTATCACAGGGCTGACACAGAGACAGACAACCACACACACACTCCTAACCAGAATGTCTTTGGACTGTGGGAGGAAGCTGGAGGAGACACAGACAGACACAGGGGACCCCCAGATTCAAACCTTTAACCTTCTTGCTGTGAGGGAGCACTGCTGACCGCTGCTCCTCTGTGCCGCACATCTTAAAACCATAATCCAACTAATCTGTGAGTCTTTGATGAATAACTGTATTAATCCCAAGGTGGAAACTGTTACAACTGCTACTTCACATAAATCCCAAAACAAAAACAAACAAAAATCCCAAAATGAGCTGGGATAGGTACTGTGACTAAAAGGCCCGGACAGAATTACTAGAACAAGGGCATCAAAAGTGAAATGTAAAAATAGAATGCAGTTAAAGGTGACTATAGAGACTTGGGTAGAGACTAAAGACAGGACTAAGTCCTACTAACATGAAGCGTCAGATGTATTTAAAGTGACTGCTACTGCGGATTCATCAGGGTCACCGTGTCACACACGCATTTCCTTGTTCCAAAATAAAGCATAAAAAGATGACAAACTGCCAAACAACATCACTTCATCCAGAACTTACATATTTGAGTTGATTTTGCTCTAGAGGCCTCCCTCCTCTGTCTCTGAGCTGTCTTCCATTTTTAAGTGGTTTTTTGGAGCTTTATCTCAGAGGGGGTCATGTGGGCTGCAGATTGTAAAACCCCCGGAGTCAAATTTCTGATACTGAGCTATGTAGAAATAAATGAAGTGTGTCTGTATAAAACAACTGAGGCCATCTCAGCACAGCCGGTCAACCAGGAGCACTTGGACAGTTTTTCCTAGTCTCCTTATTGTTACTGATGTCTACAACATTTCCTCCACTCGCGCAGCATTAAAGGACCATTAGGGGTAAACAGCTGTGACTAAAGCAGCTTCTGAGTTTAAATGCTTCCAAGTTTGATAAGCTTTCTACTGCCTGCCCTTTACCCCCCCCATCTCCTTTGCTGACTTGCACTCGGCGCAGCTTTGGCTCGTACAGTGATGCAGTGCTAAGATTTTTGTTATGATAAAGCCCAAACAACGCTCTTCAGTCACTCCCAGGCACAGTATTCAAATTGAAAGCCTTTATTTGGTCAGGCACAGTAAAATGCTGGCTGGTTTATGGGCCTCCGTCAGAGAGGGAATAATAAACCCAGAGGGTGCGCAGGCTGTCAGTCAGCATCAGGCTGCTGTACTGCCAGTAGCGTCACTCCTCGCTCTGCATCCTGTCAGTATTATGACTCGTTCCATCTTTAAGAGCATCTGGAAGTTTTCCTGATTGAACGTCTGTGTGACACGGTGAACTCGAGGCCATAGATTGTTGTTACTTCAGTTACTGTGGTTTGTCGTGTAGTCGCTGCAGCTCGTTCATCTTCATTTCTCAGAGTCACAGTCAGAGCGCCGGCTGACTGGTCACATGTGCTTCGTGTCCATCAGCAGATTAACGGTTAGTGTCACCTTGAAGCGACAGCTCAGCCCGTCAATACAAACTAATGCAGTCCATCCCTGGCTCGGCTGCCCGCCGCACAGCCTGTCAGCAGCGTGGAGTCAGGGTCACTGGATCAATACCAACCCCTGTCCACCACCATCACCAGCAGGACCCAGCTGCCATCCACTCTGAAAACCAGGTGTCAGAATCATTACAAAGGAGTTGCTGCGACCTTCATAAAGGTTGGTGCGCAGCTGCAGCTCGGCGGTGGAGCCAAGCTGACGCTGCAGCAGCAACAGCAGGTCCAGAACCAGAGCCAGATCTAGAGACACTGCACCAAACACAGTGGAGCGTTTAGCAGCTCCAGAGCCAGAGGTTTCCCTCTGGAGGAGGTGCAGACCAACCCAGAGCGAACAGAGAGGAAGCACCGGGCTGAGGCTCCTCAGGGGGACACGGACACACTGTGCATGGAGTTAGCATGCTGGATGTGCTGTGTGTTAGCCTTAATGTAAAGTCAATCATTCCTTTTGTGCTTGTTCTTCTTCTTAGTTCATTTTAATTCTGGACACTGACACTGTTCTGTAGTCTCCTCCCTTATTAAGTGTGTTAGAGTCTGGATGTTTGTTGTCTGTTTTTGTATTTTATGCTTGTTTTTGTCTGAACTTGTGATCTTTCTAACCTCAGTGGGACAACACTGGTTCAGCATGGGTTAAGTAAATAATAAAGAACAGAGGAAGTTTAATTAGGTGGGTTAAATCTCTGTGGGACAACGCTGTGTTGGCGTGAAACCACAAGGACCTCAGCTTTTAAACCATCCAGCAGCACAACTGATTTACTGCAGAAGACGCCCACACACAGCAGGACAGTAAATCGCCTGGTGTCTTCACAGAGGTTTGGTCTGGTGTCTCTGAGAGACAGAGGGCGTTCTGGAGAGAACCAGCTGTTTCTGTCCTTCCTCTCTCACAGTACGCGCTACAGCAGTCACTCTAGCTTTGCTTATAACCCCAACTCTCATGCTGGATGCAGGATGCCAGCTGTCATAGCAACCGCTTTTCATCAGCCTGCAGCGCAGCGGCTCTCAGACGCTTTGCGGGCCAGGAAGCTGACAGAAGGGGAGGTGGAGGGGTGGGTGATCCAACTCTCCACTTCCTTCAGTCTTTATGAATTTAAATAGGCAACTTAAATGTTTTACGTCAATACGGCGCCTCTACAGGAGCCCATAGGGACAAACTGTCAGAACAGGATGAATCCCTGCACAAACAGGAAGTGAAACTGGGCTAGAAGTTTACTCTCCCTGGATGCTCATGACTTCTTGATCTAATTTCAGCAGCAATACACTAAAAATGTTATTAATGAATCACACATTGTTCCATTTACAAGTCAGTGGATGTACAGTATCACAGCCCAAACCACTCTGTGAGAGCAGAGGACTTTAGTCATTTTTAAGCAAAATGCCAAACAACTGATTTCATGACTTCAGGGTTTTCTTTGTCATACAGCCAACGATAGGAAACTTCATATCTTTGGGGAAAAGAGACATTTGAAGACATCGTTTTGGACTTTGAGCAAATTGTAAAAGTTTTTATAACATTTTCCCACATTTTAGAGACCAAACAATCAACTGGGGAAATACCTGATGCAAATTGGAAATTTTAAATTTCACAAAGCTGATTGGATTAATAGTCGAACATGAGTGTTGGATGACATGTCTGACTGTCTGTGGAGGGGTGGGCGTGTGAACGCAGTCCAGACTACGACCGTAGATCCTTAGGTGACACAAACTGACAGCAGCTTCCGATGAAGGAGACAAATTGTCAACACCGTGACTCTTCATCCTTCAGCTCAGTGAGAAGAAGCTTTCACCAGCAGACCTCCTCTCTGCTCTGGACAGTCTCCACACACTGTCAGTCTGCAGCTCACACTGAACTTCCTGCAAGTTATGTGAAAGTTGTGATCTGTTCATGTGCCAGGGTCCATGCACGCCCCAGGACTAAAGTTAAATGTGTGGCTGCCTGCACAGTGTCCCACAGTTATACAGTGTTATGTGCTAATTTAACACAGTGCTGCTGGAAAAACCATCACGTTTTGCTTATAAAAAGGAACAACACCCTGTGTTAATGGACGCATTAGAAACAGAAGCTTTATACACCTGTTAGCAACCATCTCTCTTTAGCATCCCTAACAGCACTGAGACATCACAGCCTGTATGTTTAAAGCACTATGTGACGTTTGGTTCCTGTTATCACAGCGCTGATCAGAACAGATGACTAATCCCAGTTTTTACCTTTGGCTGTGTTAAAGCTTAACACCTGAAACATCCGTTGGCAACAACCGATGAAGAGGACTCCATTATATTCAGAGATGTCTCTATTTTTTTGGCCTCCTTATTCACACAAGAGGGATTCAGAATATCAGGAACAGTCAAGTACAACACCACCTTTAAATATAACCTACAAATAAAGTCCTACATTTCTGACAGCTTCACCAGAAACTGAAACATGAGCCTCATAAGCACAGGGCTGTTTTACTGGGCTGCATCCAGCTGGACAGGGGTACCTGATCAAGTGCTCAGCGACTATGTATGCAGAGTGAATTTACAATTCTGAATTTGGATTTCACTAAATCTGGAGTGGTTCTACTTTCTTTTTTCTAGCCTGTAACTTCAGTTACTACATCCCTCAGACACAATCTTGTGTGCAGTGTTAAATATCACCGTGCAGAGCCGCGGGATTAGCGCAGGCCCCTTCAGGCTGAGTCAGGCGTCCTGCTGAGCAGCAGGTTGTGTGCAGACTGCAGCCGACAGCAGGGGGGACACGAGTCCAGCCGATCTGACTGTGCAGTTAATATTTCAGTGAGGGACTCCACCACACCAGGCCTCATCACATCTAACAGAGAGGCCATCTGTCACTTGGATCAGACCAGACAGGCCTTTCTAAATCTGTGAGCCGCTGACGAGCTTCACCGGACTGTCGATGGCTCCGGTCACCTCCAGTGTTACTGTCAGACCCTGCAGCTCCAGCACTGAGTCCTAAACAACAGGAGAGTGTCCAGGAGAGACCAGGACTAGACAGCAGCAGAAGAAAAGGACTAGAGTCAAAATGAAACTCAGATCTGATGTGTCATCTCCTAGAGCCTGTGCACACATTTTGCACCGATCTACACACGATTGCATGCGCAGCCACAATCTCCCCTAAATGACAGTTTGCTAAACCTCTCTTCCACACAGGGTGTATCAGCTGCAGGAAGAGACGCTCTGTGTGGACGGCCACGTCTGTCTGGAGTCGTTTCACAGCCAAAGCCGTGAGAGCTAAAGTGAGTCCGGAGCGTTCAGCTGTGTTCGTCTGCTAGCTACATTAGCGATGTCCGACTAGTGAAGGACTCGTTAACTCATTATAAACAAACCAACAAGTCAGTTAGTCCTCATCTGAAAAGCCTCTGTCATTAAATTAAAACACAGTCTGACAACATGAATGAAGCTAAGCAGCCAAATGGGGCGATGTTTGCTCTTATCCTTACAACACCTGGACTATCTATGAACTCAAAGACCCAGTGTTTGTAAGATTCCTGTGAATTTTGATGGTAAATCATGGTGAAGTGCACATGTAATGTGCCAAACACAAAGCTTGGCCTGTGTAACAGTAATGACCAGTGGGCCTGGTGAACTGGTGCAGGCTTCTCCTGAACCACTGCTGTCAGACCAACAGTGTGCAGCTTTCTGTGTTGGCGACTGGCTACTGATCGCAAATCAATAACACTGAAAGGAAATCACAGTGACTCACAGCCGATCATCATCATGGCCACAGCGAAGATCTTCTCTCCGTCTGTGTTTGGAGCGATGTTTCCGAAGCCGATGCTGGTCAGACTGGTCATGGTGAAGTACAGCGAGGTGATGTAGACCGAGTAGACTGAGTTGTTACTGGGCCCGCCCTCCCAGCGGCCCGAGCCCGAGTGGTTGAACCTGTACGGCGTCCCCACCGTGTCTCCCAGTAGGTACAGCCAGCTGTGATTCCTCACCGTGTTGCTGTCCTCGTCGATCACCTCGTAGTCTCCGATACTGTACCAGATACAGGCCAGCCAATGGGCCGCCAGGCCAAACACACACACAAGCAAAACCAGCACAGCAGCACCATACTCGATGTAGTGGTCCAGCTTCCTGGCGACCCGGCCCAAACGCAGCAGGCGGACCACTTTGAGAGAGCTGAAGAGACTGCTGATTCCCTGGAGAGGGTGAGGAGGGGGAGGGGAGGGAGGGAAAGAAAACAAGATAAGAGAATGACTTCCTTTTGTATTATTATTCACACGCCAGTAACAGGATGCAGTTGGAGGCTTCCTGAAATCAGAGCACCGTGGCACGAAGGGCCTTTCACAGCTGGTCTAGCTCAAACAAACTCTGTTTTTGTGTTTTGGCTGCGTTCGTCTGGGCTGGTGACCCAGCTGTCAGCCAAACACAAAAACAGAGTTTGGCCGAGACCACTCGTAAAGAAAGGTCTCAGTCCAAACGCTGATGTCCGTGCTCTCAAAGCAAAAGGGACGAACCACAGGATTTTAATGTGGCATGGCTCGTTCTGCACGATGAGTACTTTTGCTACTTCAAGTACAATTTGACACCAATACTTTTGTACTTTAACAAAGTAACATATTGAATGTAAAACTTTTACCTACAAGTATTTTTAGACTGTGATGTTCCTACTTTTACTTGTGTAAAAAACCTGAGCACGTCTGCCACCACTGACCTTGGAGTTTTATTGATTGACTGACTCTTTCTGGTTCGTCATTTGTCAGAAACTGAAGGACAAATCTACCAAAATAAGACCCAAGTAGTAATGAAGTGGGAAACATAAAACGAGACCTAAACAACAGTTAAAAGGCGGTAAAGTCAGCCGGCCTCATCACAGCTGTGTCGTTATGTGAAAATGATGCAGACTCTCCATCTGGAACAGAACCTGGTGCTGTCTGCATGGAGCTGCTGTTATTTAACCACTGAGGTAAGTGGCTGTGTTTTTCACCTTAAGTTCCCCACTCCCCTCGCCGTCAGGTGGACGCAGTCTGTCTGAAACATGTATGAAACCTGCAGCAGCTCTGCCTCCCCTCCACATCTGACTCATCCACCACGTCACTGCAGCCTCTCATCAGACCACTCAGCTGCCTCTCCAGCTCCTCTCAGCAACAACACCATTTCCTCATCCACAATGCACTGCACATCCGTTAGCAGTGGCACTGAGAGACACTTAGCGTCGACACTGTGACTGAAGGGCGAATGAAAAGGTTGATTTCACCCTGATGGGGCTGACACTTCAAACGCTTCACCTCCCTTCGCTCAGTGTTTCATTTCCTGTCTATGGAAGCCCACACAGGACACCATCCCATTACTTCTATTTGTTTGTTTTCCTTTGATCCTGTTGTCTAATTATCACGACATTAAGATTTGTTTTCCTGTGATGATGAAAAAATGTCCCAAGACACTGAGAGGCGGGTTTAAATGTTGATGTCAGCGTATTTCTTAAGGTAACCTGGAAAGTTGTATGGTCTCGTGATGACTTCGTAAGGCTGCTGTCCCACAGTGATCTCATCGCCTTTTGATCTGGACACGCAGCACCTATCGAATTATCCTGATCATGACTTTATGGTGTCGCCTCCTTCCTCCTCTGTTTCATCTCCAGTCTGAGGGGGTGAGCTCCGTGAGCGGGTGGGCAGAGTTAAACGGTGTCCTAATGATCTTTTGTGGAGCATCTTGGTGAGATGCAGCTTTATACAGACACACACTGCCTTCACCAGAGGAAAAAGCAGGTGGAGTTCATCTCATAATTATGACTTCCTATTCTATAATTATGAGATCCTTTCTCATAAACCTTTTAGCCTACTTCCTGTTTATATTTGTTTGCATGAGTGATGCATCATAACACTGATTTAGTGTTTAATGCTTTGTCATAGATCTGGGATCCAGAGATCAGAGTCTTGTAACAGGCTACGTTATGGATGTTTAGAACGACAGAGGCATTATACAGCAGGCAGCCTGATTCCACTAGGTTCTATATCCTTTAGCCTGTTAGATTTGACTGATTAATAGGATCCCCATTAGCTGATGTAACGGCACTATGAGATCATTTGTTCTCTTTGGTGAATGTGATGCACTTTGGCAGCTTTAAGACACAAACCACAGCACAACAACACTGCAAAGAAACATGCTGTCAAAGGTGCCCTGTAGGGTTTCCTGTGAGGTTTAACAAAGTGATGCACGATTTCCTTCCAAAACTGTCAAAGACAAATTTTCTTCAAAGTTTTTTTGTCCATGTTTACAACTAGCAGTCGTCTTCTTTTCTGCCTTTCTCCACCAGTACATCAGTGAAATGGCGTGACACCACTGGGCTGCCTGTGCATCGAGTCAGTTGTGTGTGCGTCCTCATGTGAGTGCAGGGGTCAAACGAACCGTAGACAAACTGCTTATAGCACCAGGAGAGGTCAACAACTTTGTATGTTGCCTAAAAGGTTTGGAATTGGGCTTTTTCAGGTCTGTCTTAAAACAGTACTGATATACCTGCAGGTACAGTATGTGAGAACGCTCTCTGTCGCTAAAGCTGGTGCCACACCAGCCTGAAGCTTTTCACCCAGAACGTGCTTATGCTGTGAGAAATGGGAGACACAGTGCACACCACTGCAGATTGTTCGCCCCGATAATAGTTCCCTGCAGAGCTGCGGCGGAGGGATACCTCATGACACAGTAGCTTCATGTAGGTTTGTTGCTATTAACCAACCTTCACTTCTCCTGTTGTTGTAAATTTGTACTTTGCACAGTTGATAGCTGGAGCATTTTGTGCACTTTGAAGGACAAGAGAAAATGCTGGAGCAGCTCTGAGGGATCACAAATGCACAAACCGAATCTGAACAGAGTCTGAGGGGGTTTTAAAATCTCATCTGCATCTTACAATATAAGACACAGGACACAGCTTGTGTCTGTAGTCATCCAGGGGGTCCTGAAAGACACAAGTGATGGGCAACAGTGTTCCACAGATTTCCCCTGAGAGATCCTGAGGAATTGAACTGTGGTTAATAGCAGTCAAACTGAACAAGCATTCACTGTGTGCGGAGACTTAGGTTCATGTAGAGCCCATTGCTCAGGGGACAATTAGCACAGCAGGACAGGTGATGTGAGAGGAGCACGGCTGTAACATCACCAGCTGAGCCAGCAGCAGCTGACAAAAGGGCACGTGCAAAGAAATACATAGTGCGTGTTCAGTCAGCCAAACTAACGCTCTGTGGACATCTAGGTGTGAGGCACTGCTGCTACTGTCAAAGGCTGCAGTGATTACATCCAAGTCCGCTGCTGTACTACAGCGATAATAGGACATCATTTGCTTCAGCTGGGTAGAAACAAATGTGCAAGATGCCTCTCAGAACAAACTGCATGTGCACTTCGCCATACAGTGTGAATTTCCCCTCCA